TGTGGCCATTACCTCTCATCCTATCACTGTTACCCAGGAGAAGAGGTCACTCCACCTCACCACAACCTACTTTCAGGTGGCTGTAGTGTCTTTCTTGTAGTGAGACACTCAAAACTGAGCACAGTATTCAAGATGTGGCCTCAGCAGTGCCAAGTACAGAGGAACAATCACCTCCCTGCTCCTGCTGGGATGAGCTATTTCTGACGAAAGCCAGGATGCCACTGGCCTTCTTGGCACATAGGCACCTTGCTGGATTACATTCAGACAAGGATGGGGCCCTGAGCAGCCTGATCTACCCATTGCAGGGAGTTGGGACTGGGTGGGCTTTGAGGTCCCTTCCAATCCAACTCATTCTGTGATTCTGTGACCCTTCTTCATCTTCTCCATGCAGATCCTTTGCTCCACTGTCATCTTCCTCCAGCACACTTTTCACCAGGTGTGTCCTTTAGCCACCTATTTTTCAACCTCATTCACCCCTCCATTCCAGTTCTATGCATCATAGCTTTTCCAAGGTGCTTGACATTTGAGGAGTGATTCTTTCTTTCACAACATTCCCACTCAATGAGTAAGAGAATGGAAATGATGCTCATGCATTAATAAGATAATAAACATTCTGCTCTTTGTATTTTCATCAGTCATCTCTCTCAGGTACAAACACATACAGATGATACAGATTATATATGACATTTTCATTCTTCCTGTCACACACAGAAAATGGTGGAGCAGACAGCCTGAGAGATCAGAATATGCTACAAAAGGTTTCTCCACTCTGCCTCACCAGCTGCTATGTTCAAGGTGAATCGTGAAGAGAAATTCAAACCTGAAGCCTCCTTCTCTCTGTATGCAACATTCAAGTCAGCCCTCCGCAAAAAATTGGGCAGAACTTACCTCATTAACACAGCCAGCAGTTCTGTGAGAGCCCTGCAAGTGTTAGTCATTCTCCAAAGTGTACCCACCAGCCCTTGCACAGAAGCTTCTCATGAATCCTGGGAACCAATTCTCCCAGCTCCGCCAAGTTGGCTTGCCCTTCAGAGAAGTAAATCTTAATGTCAGGATGCAACTGTTCCTACAGAGCTCAGAGAGAGGCCCCATACTGAGTCAGTGGAACTGCATTATTCCCCCAAAAGCATCCCCAACATCAACACGTTGAAGACTGTAATAAGCCAGATTTTCTCTGTGCAAGTTAGCAATCTCCAAACAAGGTTGACTTGGCAGCCCAAGCACAATGCAGAAATAACAGGGATGAAAATTCTCCCAGGTTTACAGTAAACATTACCATCCCATAAAAATGTTTTTAGGAGGCAACCTTGAATACTCCAGCAATGGGATCTGTCAATACATCCCTCCCCCTCTTCACCAGCATTCAATAAGTGGTGTCTCTCCCACTCCTCCGCAAAGTTGCACAAATAGCAGTGCAAAGAGAAGCAGCATTAGCCTAAGGTAGTCCACCAGCTGCAGCCTGTGTGTTTCTAAAGGTCTGCCAAAGCAGCAGTAAGAAATCAACGCATCACATAGGTCACAGAAAATAACACATTTTTAATCTTCCCTTCATGCAGCACTTGGGAAAATGCATGTTTTGGCTCCGCATCAATTCTCACTTTTATGGTATCTGAAGCTCAGAGTTCTAGGAAGGACAAAATAACAATTCCATTTTAATTTCCCTTGTTCTGTCTCAGTGGGTGTAGGGACACAGCACCAGTCCCAATGAATTTATCAAGAATCTCATTTGCTATAGCTGTTTTTCTGAAAGCTCTTCAGTCAGATGTTACATGAAAACCATGCCAGCCACTAAGATTGAAAAAAGTGAATCATAAAAGCTCAAAAATCTAAAAGGTCAATAAAAAGAACCATGCATTTTAAAACAGTACTCATTATTTTTTAGCCCATGATTACATGCCACGAGTTTGAATTATCTGGAAGAGCTTATCATGATTCTTGAACACTTGCTGGAGACACTGGCAGTGCTGGTCAGATCCTGAAAGCCATTCTTGAGAAGGAATAAAATGTAGCAAACAGGTTAAGTCCCAGAAAAAAATGCTGTGACTCCAACTGCTTCAAACAAGTTAGCACCTTGCTAAACAGAAACTGATTTCATTAAGTGACAAGAGATGGGTTTCTGTGGTCAGAGCCCGTGAGTCATTGGAAAGCTGCCCTTGTAATTATTGCTGCCTCTCCACGTGTTTGTTGTACCTGGCTCAGCCCACTGCTTCAGCAGTCTACTAAGAAATCCAGTTGAAAGGTGATTTTTGGAGAGATCCATTAAAACATTTTCAGTGACAGCAATATTCTACTGACATTGATGATCCTGAACTCCTTTAAGCTCACAATGTCAACAGACTACTGAGATGTACAGAAGGTGTACAGCTTCTGGGTTAGCGGGAGCACATCACCACATGCACAAATTTCCAGGGTCAGGCCACACCAAGTGCTTTGCAAGCACAGTGCTAAGTGCTCTGAGGGTGCATTGCCCTCAGCCTGCTGAGAAACCACAGCACAATCTGTATTCAGCGGAGTGAGAGAGATCAAGTCAGGGAAAATGTGTGATTGAAGACATACCTAAGATCTCCACCACAAAATCTCTTGTGCTTTTTGTTTGCCAGAAGTAGGATAGAGAAGAGAAAGTACTTCTGACCCAGGAGAACTGCCAGTTGGTACGTTAGTACTTACATAATTCAGTGCATCTCCACAATCCACTGGGCATCTAGGAGTGTAAAATTACTTATTTTATACACTTGTGAACATAGAATCACTGAATGGTTTGTGTTGAAAAGGACCTCAATACCCACACTGCCCAAACCCCTGCCCTGGGCAGGGCTGCCCCCCACCAGCTCAGGCTGCCCAGGGCCCCATCCAACCTGGCCTTGAGCACCTCTAGGGATGGGGCACCACAGCTTCTAACATAATCTAAGGAAGAGTCAAAGCGCTTCATTGTCAGGCTACAGGGTAAAAAAAGATTGAAGTACTGCTACACAAATTGTTTAGGCCTTTGGAAATGCCAGTGGAGTTTGACGTTTGATTATTTATTTGACTCTTTCAGTTCTCCACTGACACCATACAGCATCCTGAAGTTTTATTCTTGGAGATTGAGAGTCCAGTGGGACAAATCAGCTCTCAACTATCAAAAAACCCCAGCACACCGCAAAGACATGCTAAGATTTTCCTTCTCTCTGTTGGGAGAATCTGTGACATTCAAGGTATAGCTCCTAGCTTTCTTCCATAGCACAACTCAGGCTGCCCAAAACCAGAACTGCTCAAATCATCAGATATAATCCAATGCCCATTCCAGCATTTATAGCTGCTGAGAGAATGTGTGCACTGTTCTGCATTACTTTCCTGAAATAGCTAACTACCAGTCTAAGCGGCTGACTGGGCTAAACAAATTGCAACCCAAGGCTCCCTCCTCATCCTCCCCCACCCAATCCCTATTAAAAAAAAAAAAAAATTATGTTCATATTAGAAACTATCAATTATGAAAAAAAATAGTACATCCAGTTAAGAGACAGCTATTCAGCAGACTTTTTATAAATAAATCCTGCTGTTGAGGAAGCATGAGTGCTTGTGTAACCACGTAGCAGGCCTGCAAGTGCTGCTGTGCCTGTGGCTGCTGGCTTCAGTGGGCACTATGTCTATCCCAAAGGCAGAGATTTTCAGTCCTTCCCCTGTACACAACCAATGCTTCAGAGTATGAGGATACTGGATCGGTAGCATCTCCTTATGCTTTGTTTTCTGGCCTTTTGAAGACCATCATCTCTTAGAGCTGGTACTGCTGCTTTTCTTTGGGATCAGCTGAGGCTCGGAGAGATTCACTAATGCTGATCCACTCTTGTGATAAGCTGGACTCAGGAGCCTAAGTTCTCTATCCCTGGCATCCACCATGCACCATTCAGACCAGAAACAGGGACATGAAAGTCCAACTCTCTCAGGTCCTGATTCATAATAAATACTATCACATGCTTCATAGATAATAAGCTGGCAGCTCATCCTCAGTGAACATCTACAATTTTCCTTCTGAACACATGCATCAACATCAAAACTGAAACAAATTAAATGCCAGATATAATATGATGCTAAAGGGAACAGCATAAAGACAAACAAACAGTATTTGTGTACGTATAATCCGTTTTCAATCTTTATTTAGTGAAGCTGAAAGCTTATGTATTCTCCTTTCTATTGAAATGAAATCCAGGGCCCAAATTCCTAGCCAGAGGATAACTGTTTTAAGCTAGATTTGAAAGCAATTTTTCTTAAACAATAAAAAAAACTCAAATAACCAACAAAGATTCGTTTTGTGTACCTATGCAAAACAAAACAACAACAACAAAAAAATAGGGAGGGGAAGAGTGGAGAGAGCTGTAGGTGAAAAGCTACTACAGGTGGTGACACAAGGGAGAACCTTGTCTTGTTTTACACACAGAACACCAATTTGTTCTGCGAATAGGTAGGTGACCAAAAAGAATTAAGCACTCATTTCTCAAAAGACTGAAATGAGAAAAGATGATGGGAATCTTGGTTTCTTTAGGCTACAGGTTTCTGTTCATGTCCCATCAAGAAAAACTTCTGAGAAATTTGAATAAAACACATTTTTATGTATTTTTCTATTTGTAGTTCGTGCTTCATATGCTGCTGGCCTCAATTCTCCACACATCAGCAAAAAGGGCAGCACACGAATCCAACCCCATAACACAGACTTACAACCACACAGCTCCTCCTGGCTAAGCTCACACCTGTGTGGAAGGAACGTCCATCCTACAAATATTTTCCTCCATTCCAATGTCCAGTCTGGCTCTAGTTGATGGTAAAACAAAACACCTTTTATTCTTCTTTCACTCAACACTATGGTCATTCTCTCAAATGCTGCTCGGTGAATACAGAGTAACTTTTTACCTGTACTTTGAACACAGTTCTCACATGATCATAAAGAAAAATTTGGCATGTCTTTTGGCAGTGTGAGTCATTTCTTTTTGTACCTTTTCTGGTCATAAAAAATGAGTCGAGTTTTATTTTTAATCACACTTTTATTACCTTTTTCCAAAAACAAGCAAAAAATAATCCTCAAACAGATCACATACTATTGTGCTATATTTACACTGCAGACTTCTTAATCTCTAATGTAAATATGCATACTATGAAGTAATCTGTCTTTGGAAAAGAATGCTATTTTGAGTGTTGTGATGATGGATAAATCATATCAATGTAATATTCTAAGAGAAAAGAAAATCCGTTTTCAGAGTTGTCAAACATGAAGATAAGCATACAGATTAATTCTACTCAAGTTATTTAAACAATTTTAAAAGAAACCTCCAATGTTACAATAACTTAAGCATGCTATACCACACACATAACATAGCTAAAACTGATTATTTTTGATGGACATTACTTATCAAAATTGTATTCAAAAGTAGGACTAAAAAAAATCAATTAAAAGTTTCAAACATGCAATTTAGAGTATTCATTTCTTCTTGGGAATTAGTTTGTCTTCATAGTTGACAGGGACTATGCCACTGCATTCTTCTGTCTTTGACACAGGATACTTTATAAAAGCACGTCTAATTATATCAATATCACGTCCTAAATGATCCATCATGGTCGAAACAATTGACGGCGGGCCCTCTAAGTCTACCAAAAAATACCTGCAATGAGAAACACACATACAATAAAACAAAATACCTGTACTACAACTTGAATTCAAATAAGTGAGATATCTCAAATGAAACTCAATTTTTTTCTAAAGTTCTGCTACCAGAATTCTTTAAATAAAAACTCAGTACTATTTTGATTTCAAATCTGAAAAGTTCAACTCAAGCAGGCTTAGTCTAAGCTCTTCTTGGTTGCACAGCACATTAAAGGGAACTTAATCTTCTTGTATCTGCTCCATACCTGGATCTGAATCATAGAATGGCCTGGGTTGGAAAGGACCACAACGATCATCTAGTTTCAACCTCCCTGCTATGTGCAGGGTCACCAATATCTGAATAATGTTGTGTTTTTGTTTTTTGTTTTTCTTTTTTTGAATGGTGGCATATTAACTTTGCTTACAATGTGCATTCCCCTTTGAATTCACAGCATTGTTTCATTGGGAAACAAATGTCAGTGTGAAATGTCTCAAGCTTACATACACATAGGCATACTTCTTCAAAGTTCTGTTTTGGAGCTGAATGCAAATTAAAAAAACAAAACTAAAGCAAACAAAAAGCAAAAACAAAAGCAAAAAAAACCCCACAAACAATAAAATACACCCATATAGATGGACTTATTCTAAATTAGGCACCTCTCCAATGTGAACAGAGCTTAAATCATCAATGTGGGGGCAGGAGCTGAAGCTGGATTCAGGAAATGCCAACTTGCACAGTCGGCACTTGACAAGCATGCTGACTTGCTGATCTTGGCAAGAGTGAAAAGGTCTTCCTTCCACACATGCACAGAATGTATAAAATACACTGCTCCAGGTAAGCACTTTGTCTCCACCACACAACTACCATTGGCATCTGCTAAACAAACCCTACTGCCTACCTACAGAAAGGAGAACATTGCTTGCCTGTTAGTATCCTGAATTAGTATAGTATATAGTATCTATATTAGTATAGTAAATACCTTGATTGAACCTTCCCAAGAAGCATCACCCTGAAACATATCCTGAAAGTAGTATCCCTTAAATCATGAAGTCATACTACAAGAACTGCACTCCTAAATCTCTAACACCGAAGCAGGATCAAGCATTCCAGTTGGATTTAAAAACTGTACCTAACAGGACTGTGTTCTGCAGGAGATATAGGCTTTTATCAAGGTGAACATCACTTCCATAGAGGTAATGCTGAAGGATATGTCCCCAGAACCAGCAGCTGGAATGGAAGGCGAATGGGAAATACAGGAGGTGGGGTCTCCAAAAGCAGACAGATGCACATCCATGTTGCTGACCTGCATTAGACCTCTTTTTACCTAACTAAACACCTTGCACAATCAACGCCAAGAAATAGTACACACACAGGAGACCTGTTAGGTCAGAAATGAAATCCAGAAATCTGCTGGACTGCTGCACAGAGGTGGAATTCATACATGGAAAGCATACATGCAAAAAAAATTCTTATCAGCCAGACATCCTCATCCTGAACCTCTTACGCCTGCATCTGCATCAACAGTCACAATTTAGGACTGAAGACTTTTTCAGAAAAAGCAGATGGAAGCATTAAGTTCCCCCAGGTGAGGTGAGGAGCCTGACGGCAAGAAATCTCCTTGCAACCTGCACTGAAGAAGCCACTCCTCCAGAACAGGTGCCCAGCTGGTGCAGGCCTTGGCTGTGCATCACAGGAGTGGGGGACCAGCACCAGCTCACGTCAGCTATGGTGACTGCAGCAGGAAGGGCTGCTGCAAGACACAGGGACAGCTTGCCTTAAGGAGGGCTTGGAGGGTGGTTCACTCCTCCTTGCAAATCTCCACAGAGGGAACGGGGATCGTCTTAATTTGTTTGGAAAAATGATCTGCCTCCTATTTTCTGAAGATCAGAAAACAGGAGATGCCACCTGGTTAAAAGTTTAGGGAGAAGAATGAGTTTGAAGCTTGGACAAGTCATTAGAACTGTAGCATAACAATTCTGAAGAACGCACACCCTTTGAAAAGGGAAAGTCTTTTTCTGTTAAAGCCATTAAAAGCCACTGGTAAATTTAACAAATGCCACTTAGATCTTCTCCATTGGAGGAACCCTTCCCAATCCTCTCACACTTGTGACTAATATAAGGGAGGATGGGGGGAGAAATCCCAGCTGATGCCACGCCATCGCTCCCATGCCCCCTTCCCCTAGCTTCAGGTTTGCAGGAGCATTCATTCATTTTGCAAACCATGCCCTCTGACACACCATATTAATCCCACTTCTCCAGAATCTGATTTCATTTCTGCTTGCAAGTGGTATGCTGCTTTTCATTGTGCTTCTAAAACGGCAGTACATTTTTACTTGTTGGTTTTGTGGTGTTTTGTTTTTTTTTTTTTTCCTTCAAAAGGCTGCTTTGCAACTTTGTGCTTTCTCTCACATTAGCAAACGGTGGAAATTTCCACTGACGCACTGTTGATAACTGAAGGAGAAGTGGGGGATGGGAGGATGAGCTGTTGCAGCATATCTTTATGACTCCTCGCAGAATAGGTATTTTATCTGAGGACACAAAACTGCAGTAATTGGGGACAAAGCCATTTTTTTTTTTAAAACAGCAACCAGTCTTCAAGGTAACAAGAAGCAATTGCATTCCTGTGTAAAAAAGAATGAAGGAGGGCCAGCAATAAAAAATGTTATTCTTTCATTAAAGGAAGAGAAGAAAATAACAGCTGCAAAAAGAATAAGCAAACACAATTGACAATGCAATTCCTGCGGAGATCCGGAACACCTTCCCTCCAAATACATGTATTTAAATCAGCTGTCATGAGGGTATGGGCTTTTTTTCACCCACTCTAATGAGGCATGCCTCAATTTCAGCCAGCGATCTATGACCCCCTGATCAACCCCGTCGTTTCTGCTGTTTGTGTAGTAAGCAAAAGCAAATCCCAGTGAGATTTATAGATGGGGAAAAATAAAGGAAAGGAACTACCTCATTTGTGCAAGCAGAAATGCAAAAGTATTTAGGCTGTCTAGGAGTCAGCCGAATCATCAGGGGAGAAATGCAGGAAAATTCCATTGATTCAATATGAGACCACAGTTATTTTTGTCATCTTGCTCAACTGTAAATAGAAGGATGATGTAAATACAGGAGAGCAGACTACCCAGTGAAACGTATTTAAACAATGCTTAAATTGAAAAAAAAAAAAAAAAAAGCCAGGTTTCATTTCTCTTTTTTAACATACCCAAGCCAGAAATGGTTTGAACATTGAACCCTAAAGATGGACACTATATGGCTCCAAAGAATCCTGAATGACACCTGGATCAAAACTCACTAGTAAATCATAGAATCATGGAATAGCCTGGGTTGAAAAGGACCACAATTATCATCTAGTTTCAACCCCCTGCTATGTGCAGGGTCACCAGCCACCAGACCAGGCTGCCCAGAGCCACATCCAGCCTGGCCTTGAATGCCTCCAGGGATGGGGCATCCACAGCCTCCTTGGGCAACCTGTTCCAGTGTGTCACCACCCTCTGTGTGAAAAACTTCCTCCTCATATCTACCTAAACCTCCCTTGTCTAAGTTTAAGGCCATTCTATATGCAATGTGCCTGTGGAGCAGAGGAAAAAGCACACATACGGTTGAGTTGGAAAAGGCTGTGTGGTCCCACAAACGTTTGTATGCTTAAAGATGATAAGTTCAAGCTCCATTAGCTATCTTGTCATTAAATTTTTCCTTTGCACATCAACAGTGAGTCTAAGTAAGCTTCCCTAATGGGAAAGTGGAAGATTAGGCAAGAAAATGTACAACTGAAGCACCCAAGAAAGGAACAAGAAATTGTCACGAGGAAAGCAAGCTGTGGTACTCTCATGAAAATAGCTGGACGTTCATTTTCACTGTGATAATCCCCTGTTAACAAAATTGCTTGGCTACATGAATGCCCGCTTCATGTTTGGAACCAATGCATTGTTCTTGAAGAGCCACAGTTTGCTTTTTTCCTCAATTCTTGCAGCTACTTGTCCTCAGTGGGGTAGACAGGCGAGCTTCTGTTCAGACAGATTATCGTGTTGTAGCTGGAAGGATTAGCCCAATGTGTTATTTCTAGCTTTTAAAAAACATGCATGGAATAGATGGGAGTCCCTTTAAAATCACAAGGACAGCAACTTGGAAGTCCCAGATTGAAACCAAAACCTGGTATCTTAATAATTAAACTGTGCCATAACAGGGATGCAAATAATCCATAATAAACCAGTACGCTGGGGAAAACTAATTTTTTTTTTTTTAATTGTCCACAGTCTTCAGAAATTTCATTTGCCAAACCTATAGATAGATTCCTGTTATTAAGCTAATTCAATAACAAAGATATTCTGCAGTGTTGCAGAAAAATAAAAAAAACACTGCTTCACTGCAAAACAGAAAGCCTGACCTATTCCAACTATTTTAGAAGCCATGCTCACTGGGCAGCATTTGAAAAGTCTGCAAATTTGCCACAAAGACAGCTGAAAGGATTACTGTTTGGGAGTGGCCATTACATTTAATCAACATGCTTGCACAAAGATGATACAGAATTTAGTGCACCAGAAAAAGACACTTAGCACCTCAACATCTCAAATTATTGCACTGTGACATTTCTTCTAGCAAGCAGAAAACTGCAAATTGCAGTCTCAAAGATAAGGTAAGGAAAAAAAACAACAGCATTTCAGGGCTCTGATACCCAAGGTACGTGCACACTTACACATGCACGTGGACAAAAACATTTGAAGGGAAAGTAATGGTTCAACTCATCAATGGAGAAAGCCCCATCTAGTGGAAGAAGGCAATCAATTTCATAGAAAATGCTACATACGTGCCTAATACTCAAGCATTCAAACTTGTTTTGTTCTGACCCCAGTACAATGCAGATTCAGAATTCCTTTTTGCTGAAACAGACCAAGATATAAGACATTCTCAAATCTGAACAAACCAAACAGCACAGGCTGTACATTAACTACAAAGGAAGTCTGGTGGTATTAAGAAAGTTTGCAAGGTCTTTCATCTGTTTTTCTTTTCTC